GAACGCGATGCTCATGCCTTTACAACCTATGCAAACGCGATTGCCCAGTCGCGAACACGAATAAAAAAATGTGCATTCCATATTTCCTCTACACGGTCGCGAGCCTAGCTCCGCGATCGCGATTCTCTGCAGATACACCAGGAATCAGCAACATAAAAACCACTGAAAATGGTCCAAAATCAATCTGAAACATACCCGAGCCGCTCGAGACCCTGCATGAACATACCAACAAGTCCTAAAATATAACACGGACCTACTCGAGACCTCAAATCACGCATAACAATATCAAAACCACGAATCGCACCTCAATTCAAATTCAATGAACTAATGAACATTTCCAAATTCAAAACTAACGGCGAACAAGACTAAATACATCGGAATGACCTCAAAGTTTGCACACAAGTTCCAAATGATGTAACGAACCTATTCCAACTCCCAGAACCACAATCTGAACCTGATATCATCAAAGTCAACTCTTATCCAAACTTATGAACATTCCAAACCTTCAATTTTCCAACTTTCGCCAAATAGTGCTGAAACCTTCTAGAAACATCCAAATGCAAATTCGGGCATATGCCCAAGTCCAAAATTACTATCATGACCTAACAGAACCATCAAAATTCCGATCCGAAGTCAAATACACAAAAGTCAAACTTGGTCAACTCTTCCAACTTAAAGCTTCAAACATGAAAATCATTCTTCCAAACTAATTCCAAATCACCCGAAAATCGAAACCGACGATACACACAAGTCATAATACAACATACGGAGCTACTCATGCCCTCAAACCACTGAACAAAATGAAAATATTCAAAATGACCGGTTGGATCATTACAGGTCCAGTGCCCATGCCTAAAAATGAATGGGCTTAGTATATTGGGCTTCTATTTGCCTAAGGTCCAAGACGTGGCCATTTTCAAGGGGACCTTAACTTCAGAGTGAGTTGGGACAATGATGGCAAGGCCCAACTTTCATTTCTTTTTTAAGTGTCTGGCAGATTGTGTTTCTCGGGTTCAACACTGCGATTAACTCTACCAGGTCCACACCTATCCATTTGTTACTACCAATGTTACTTCTAAGATCCAAATCAAGTTGGTCACTTGGAACTTATAAGCTTATTAGTTCCAAAGTCATTTCTTTGATTACTTGAATTCTCTTTTAGACACTTGCTAATGATTAGCCTCTTACGTTATTCTCGTAGTTTGCCAAAAATCAAAGTGTTAACATTTCTAATAGATCGAATCGACTCTAATATTTTCATTTCACTTATTTTCAAGATTTGTTTAGTTTCGAGTAAACTTTAGCACGTTAATAGTTCAACCTTTTATCCCCTAAATAATCGCAAAGCTCGAGTGTGCGCAAAGTATTAAGTTATGAATATTTCTAATGGCTTAACAATTCAAGTGACATTTAAAATCTTACACACCCTGCTACAATAATCTCCATAAGCTATGCCTCACAATAATCTCAAAATTAATTTAGGAAAAATAAATACGATAGTTGCTTTAGGCACAACTTAACAAAGTTACTCATCATGGTTATGGGTCGGTTTACGTGGCATAACTATGATGCATAAACCCAAATTCAAGTATGCGCTCACACGACTTGACTAATTAACTTCAAACAATAATAAAGTGTTACTAATCATGAGTACATGTACATGGCATGTTTTTTGGCACACAACCAAAACAAGGATATGGTTCATGTGACTTGTTCAAGATAAATTCCATAACTCCTTCAATAAGCAATCTAAAAGTGAAAATATGTAAATTTCCTAAAAACATAGAGTATCCGGATTAATTAAATCAAGTATAATTATTAAGCAACCATACTAGAACCATAGGACTCGGGGAAGTGTTTTACACCTTGTCCTCGGTCAACAGAATTACTTACATGATCTTATGTGTTCCCAGACCATACCCGGAGTCAAAACTTTTACCTTGAAATACCAAAATCAAATAATTTCAAGTGGCAACTTCTTTAAATAATAAATCAATCTCTTTTCAAATTGTGTCACTTTAATTGAAAAGCCTATTTTTTTCACGATCCCCGAAAAAAGGATGTGTGACAATATACATATTGTTATTTTTCAAAAATTGTAATGTTTAATATTACAAATGGTATATTACGTCTTTTAAATTGAATATTTTGAAATAAGAAAGAAATTGAGGCGTGGAAAAACAGAGGAGAGAGAAAAGAACCATGTGAGAAGAAATTACGACTGTACAGCGTGGAGAGGAAAGAGGAAGAAGTAAACAGATGCCGTAAATTAACTTGTAGTAACAACCTATGACTAGTTGGGAAAAGTTCACCATTGATATTTAAGTACTGGTTCTCTAGAAATTAGCAAAAATTGACTTTGAATATTTGATTGAATTTTGAGAGAGATGATATTATCGCAATGAAATATTGAGTAAAGATACGTGAGAGAATCTTTGAGAGAGAATCTAGTCCATTAAAACGTAAAATTTGATAAGTGACATATAATGATATTAAAAATTGAATAAAATTTTATAAAGTAGGTATAAGGGTAAAATATATATTTATATACTATGTTAAAAGTACGAATATCCTTAGCGAAATGTTGTTCGCTTTTTTTATCCTTTAAAATAAATTTTACATTGAATAAAATTATAATTTAAGTTATTTTTCTAAAATATTTACATTAATTATATCCTAATATTTAGGACTTCAAAATTTATCATTCGCCTTTTTTATCCTTTAAAAAAAAAAATTACATTGGACAAAATGATAATTTAAGTCATTTTCCTAAATTTTTGACGTTACCTATATCCTAATATTTAGGACTTCAAAATTTTAATATTTCATGTGAAGTAAATATTACTTATACTCTTTCCTTATTTGAATGCAATTTAAGACTCTAAAAAGATATCGGGCTAATAATTACTTAAAATTATTTGAAGATTTTACGTATTAATTTGGACGCTGGTAGAAAAGGCATTGGATTGCTACATTGAGTTTTAGTTATTACTTGGGATTTTTTTATATTTCTTTTATTTATTTCTACGATGCGTAGAAATTTTTGTTAGAAGGCCTAATATTTAGGGTTACTCCTTTTCTTTTCCTGTACAAAATGAACTCTTTCAAGCATCACAAAAGGTAACATAGTGTTTAAACACCAAACTCTTCACAAAATTTAGATAAGCTTATATTTAAAATTTTGAAATTAATTGTGAATTTTTACTTTAAGTTTCCAAGAACTTAACCTTCGAAATTTTATTTAATATAGAAAGAAGTTCGTTAGAATTAAATTCAACATGTTAAAAATACACTCATCTCATGGAAAATAGATTTTTTTAACAATCTGCAATTAGCGATGAATTTCTACTATTTAACTACAAAATACTATTTCTTTTATAGTTGACATGTTTAGAATACATAATATCTCAAAATTATTTCATGCGATGTTAAAATAAAATAAGGGGATACATAATAGTCACGTAGCTTTCAAAATTATCTAAGTTATTTTAATGCTTAGCTAGGTCATCCAGTACTTTGTTGACTAAATATGATTCATATTTGTCAATTTCAAAACTTTATATTTTTAATTTTTATTTATAACTCAAACGAATTACTTAATAGTATTTGTGATTTTTAAAAATTTTAATTTATTGAATAGAATGCGCGTCTTAGCGAAATATTTTTCATATTTTTACCCTTAATAGATGGATCTATGGGTTTATTTCAACGGAGAATAAATTAAGCCAATATGTCCACTATTGTCTTTGTTCTTTCCCCAAATTTGTGGGTAGAGAAAATGTGATCTATTATTTCTTGCGCCTTACACCTTCATATAACAAATATATGGGAGTGATCAGTGCCCAACTCTAAAGTGTTCAGTTAAAGGTATCAATGGTGGTAGAAAAAAATGTGTTCTCCTGTGATGATCATGGGCAGAATTTCTTTCTTGATTATATTAAGTTAGCTAAATACGATCAACTATCAATAATCATCATTTTTGAAAACTTACACAGATTTTTTTAACTTTTTATTTTATGAAATATTTTTATGTGAATTTTTAAAATTTGCACTCATTGAAATAGGGTATACGTGTAACGCGCGTATCTTAAAACTAGTGAGGTTAAATGTATAATGAATGTATACCACATAGATTTTTTAATGTTAGAACTCATTTTATCCGTGCCCATCTCAGCCCAACTAACTTTCATATAGGTCATACCGACCCGCCCATTTCTTTAGTACGGGTCATACTGACCTTCCCATTTTATTAGCACAATATCATCAGTCTAACACACTCATTTGACCCCTAAATTCCAATTTTATCTCTTCAACCATAATCCTCCGCTTCTCATCATATCTCGTGCTCGCTATACGTCAGCTTGGTTCTATTTTTCTTGTACAATAATTTCTATATGCTTTTTATGAATTTGTACTCCCTCGGAGCGATAATCCGTTGGATTTTATTAACCAAAGAGATTAAAAGTAAGACAAAAGTGATCAATATATTTTTATGCTTGTTCCTGAAATATAAAGCAGTCCATTTACTTTTGAATAACTTTTTTTGTTCAAAAGGGCTTATGGTTTATCGGCAAATGTCTTAATATGATATACGTTTTTTAATTTTTAAGTACGTATCTCAACAAAATAAATTTTTTATCTTATGGTAGTCTGCTCCCGTCCTTGAAAACCTTTTGTTATTGAGTTAGCCATACACGATGGCATATTTCTATCATTCGCATAGCATTATCAAATGATTCTACGGCCCCGTTTATCCATAATTTTTTTTTTTTTTTCAATTTTATTTTCCAAAAATACGTTTATCCATAAAATTCTGCTAGTCTTTAAAATTTTTTTAAAAATGAGTTTTCAAGATATCATTTTTTCCCCAACTCACAAAAATATAATATTTTTTGAAATAAAATACATGTCCAACTACTATTGCAAATTACAAATAACATTTTTAAACTTAGCTTCAAATACAAAAAATTACAATTTTTATGTCCAAAGTCCTACTAGGATAAAAATCTGCCGTGCCCTTGTTACCCGCAGCTTCCTAAAACAGGGAAGGCGATGAACAGCTGCAGCGTTCCCCTGTTCTCCAAAAATGGTCTCACCACTCCTCAAATCATTGTCGCTCTTCTCAGAAATTCTCCCTTTCCGGACTTGTCCAATTTATATCATTGAATCATTGGTACGCACTTTGCTTCTAAATTTGTTGATTCTCGTAGCCTTCAACATCGTTACATGTTTGATTCCAAAATTGAAAAAGTAGATCTGCTTTAGTTGCTAATTACTTTCCCTAATTTATATTTGTCCAGTTGTGTGAATGTTCAAAGGTTTTCTTTCATCAAGTAAGGTAATATTTTATAATAAAAAAATGGCACAAAACAGGTGCAATTAACTGAGAATGGCACAAAAAGCAAAAGCTCAGTTCCTTTTCTGCACAATGAACTGAGAAAATCTATCAAGCTGTCTAGCTCTGATTATGTGAATTTTTAAAGGCTAATAAAACAGAAAAAGGAAAGCTTTTTTTAAAGGTTTTAATATATTTGCTTGTGCTAATTTTGATTTGGTGCCCTTTTTGTTGGGTGCGTCTTTGAAAACAAAAACAACTCTGCTTCAATCCCAAACAGATTGGGGTTGGCTATATGAATCCTCATTTTTCCATTTAAGCTCAATTCATATTATCGTAACACCGTCAGTATATGTATTATGAAGATTCATCATGAATTGACTAGTTTTAAGATTCTCTAATTTTTGTCTACTTGATTGTATACGAGGTTTAGTCCCATCATATCCATAAAACTTAACTTCTACAGAAGAGGAAAGTACTGTAGAGCAGGGTTCCTTGAGAGTGAGAATCAACCAAAACTTCCAAGTAAAACAAGTCTTAACCCATAATTTGCTCTTCTCTATCAGCTCGCAAGATAAATCTGATATAGTGATAACCATCACGTGAATGATACTGATTACAACCAAAGCATTTGTTGTATGTTGCCAGTGACGGCTTGCTTCTTTCTTATACCAGACGCAGAAACTCATATCTTTGGATATGTGTGTGATTTAATATTAATAAATAATATATGAAAATAATATGAGGTATCAAGGTTAGTCCTGTAGGTGCGTACATGCAATTTTAGAGGTTTTTGTGCTTTCTTTGATATGTAATGTAAACTTTTAGGAGTTTCATTGTTATAGCAAATGTACGAGTTGTAATAAACAAATAACGAAATTAACACTCAAATAAAGGATATTGATTTTGTACAATTTGTAGTTATGTTTTCTAGCACTGGCTTAGTGCAAGCATTTATAAAATCTTTGATTACTTATCTAAAAAAAGGAAAAAAGAAAGGATATTGACTACAGCCAGTGCAACATCTCTATCATCATTTCATCAGAGATCAGCGGGCACACTTTCTCCTTATGCACCATAACAAACTCAATATCCCCATATCCTCCAAACAAGAGTAATATCCTATAATCAAGTTATGGCTTCTAGCTGATATCAGATCCATATTGGCAGAAAAGGAATTTGGTCAGCATTTAGCCTTCTCTTGGCGTCCTATGAGGATAACGCAAGGGAACTGATAGTACCAGAAGAAAGCGAACCAAGTGATAAGGAAATAGTTTGAACTTTGTAAGTTAGAATGCAATACAAAGAGTGGGAAATGTTGTGTGCAAGGATTGAACATGTAAGCAAAGGTCACTTTTGCACCCCCTTAACCGCTGGGCCAACACTTCAGCAATGTCAACTACAATAGGTTTTTGCACATTTCTTGAAAACAAGTGAACCCATTTAGGGGTATTTGTCTTCTAAAATAACTTATTTATTTATAGGAAAAAGGACACCTCAGGAGTATGACACGGGTGTGGGTCTCATGGGGGTAATTATAATACCCTAAAAATTAGCAAAATACTTCACGAACTCATAGTGGATACTAACACACTTCATTTGACTAGACACGAGGTTTAAAAAGATAGGAAGACTTTTGTGACATAAGTTAAATGTATATAGATGCCTTGTCATTTCTATAAGAGTATTTTATTAAAGGTAAAATAGGAAAGTTAGAAGTATATAGTTTCCAAAATATAGATGTGCCAATCTTCTTGGAACGGGCTAAAAAGAAAAAAGATTCATATAAAATGGAACAACGGGAGTAATACGTATCTGTGAACGAGTCCATGTAACGTCAATCCAAGTGCAAATAGCTCCCCAGCAACCACACACCGGAGACTGTGATTGATAGTTTAACAAACCCTTTCATATTTTACGCGTCAATGCCCTTGGCAAATTCGGCTGAACAAATCTCATGTCAATAAGCAAGGAATACCATGGCATTAGAATATTGTGTTTCAAATATTCCCAGAGGCAAAGTAGTACTAAAAGTAACATGTCTCTATTTGATAAAGTGAAATTTTTTAGGCAGAGAACTGAATAATAACGTCGGATTTCAAACGCAATAGTTCTGTAAATTTATACAAGCATATCCATAGTTTAAAATTGGTTATAGGGGTATATGTTATATGAAAGAGACTCTATTTTTATATTGAGAATGTCCATTTGCCTAGAAAACAAATGAAGAAAAGTCTATTTTGGTATTTAGAACTTAAATTTACGATCTTCTGGAAGAATTTCTTAATAAGTATCTAGTTCCATGATGATACAAACACAACCTCTTAAGTGGTAATTTATTATCTTAAAGGCAAAACAATGATAATCTTATCATTTAAACCCTTAATAACTGTTCAATATGTCCTTAGAACATAAGCCCTGTTATTTCTATTATTTTCGCTCGTTATTAGCTGATTCATTGTGCTATTTATTCCACGATGGTCGTATGAATTGGAATGTGAGACTATGCATGGTTCATCTAATTTGTCATAGGTTGTAAAATAGTGAATCCAAAATCAATAATAAAAAGTGAAGTCAATATCATCTACGACAATACTAGTGAGCTGAAAACGTATAAGACGAATCACACGACATTGTTGCTTAGCTAGAGCGCCGCACTTATTCATCACAGGTCTCCTATATCTTCATTAACGACTAACACTCTGTTTGGATTATTGTTACCCATCATTTTATAATGTATCGTATTGTATTGTATCGTTTTATGAATACAATGTTTGGTTAGATTGTATTGTTTGCTGTTGTTAATAACATTTTGCTATTTGGTTTGACTGTATCGTACTGTACCTGATATGTTTACTAAAATACCCTCAATTGTTTAAATATTTAATTTATCAAGAATTACGCATAAAAATAATTTAAGAAACCCCTTTCTACTAATTTATCACCAATTATGTCTTATATATAAATTAAGCAATTAAATTCATGCAAATTTTATTGAAATTAGTGGAACAAGTTAATAATATTAAAAACAATAATAAGTACACTTTGCACACTTGAAAACAACCAATATTATACAACTAATTGGAGATAAAGTAATTAGAAGTGGAATTAAAATCAAAGTAGAAGAAAGAATGAAACAAAAGGAAGGCAAAACCTATACATAACGTTGGAGTTGGAAGCGGCAGAAGGAAAAAAGAGAGACGAAACGTAGGTTATAGGTTGGAGTTAAAATAAAAAAAATAAAGGGTAAAATAGAATTATAAGGTAATAAGTTAGGGCATAATTGGAAAGAAAAATAGAAAACAATCCCACCATACCAAATCGGTTGTTTCAAAAAATGGGACTTTTCATTGTTTCGGAACAATAGATTTAACAATACAATACAATCAATTTTAATTAAACAATCAAAACAAACATTGTTTAGGGATAACAATATAATACGATACAATGGGTAGCAACCATCCAAACAAGCTGTAAGTTTTTATTTCTAATCTAACATTCATTTAAAGATTAAGGATCAGTGGTACTGGATTCATTAGCTTGAACGAAAATAATATATAGGCTTCAAAAAATCATGAGCACTTGTATGCAAAGCATATAACATCTATAAAACATATCTAGGTTATGGTTAAAGCCTAAAGCAAGCATGGATACCTGTTTACTTAATTAAAAAAAACAAGGTAATCTTCGACAATTGGTGGGATACCTGTTTGCTTAATCAAAAAATAATAATTCTGCAAGTCCAATAAAACTTGGTAATCTTCGACAATTGGCGAGGACATACACATAAATTTTATGGTTTCCAGTTTGATTCATTCTCTCTCTCTCTCTCTCTCTCTCTCTCTCTCTCTTCCTGTTTTCTTTTCCTTTTCCTTTTTAGTATTCCCCCCTCTGTTCTTTCCTCTTGCTTTAGCACAGCAGCTTCCCATTGTAGACCTTGCAAACTAAGTGATTTGTCGCCCGTAGGTAATTGAGGCAACTGGTGCTAACTACTGTTCTGTTCAGTTCTACTTTTGTCGGTGCTTGTCATTTATAAAAAGGGCAGCGCGGTGCACTAAGCTCCCACTATGCGCAGGGTTCGGGGAAGGGCCGGACCACAAGGGTCTATCATACGGAGTCTTACCCTGCATTTCTACAAGAGGCTGTTTCCACAGCTCGAACCCATGACCTCCTAGTCACATGGCAACAACTTTACCAGTTACGCCAAGGCTCCCCTTCGGTGCTTGTCATTTATATGAGCATAAATTGCACTTCACCAGTAAACATCTATCTCTACATTTTACAAGAAGTTGATGTACTTTTTTTTGGGTAAGTAGCAACAAGAGCAGCAGTAGCAGTACGGGGGATTGGTTCTGGTTTAGCAGAAGAGCAGGCAGAAGGTTGTGGAAGCCTAATGTCATTAATCTTTGTTCAATTTTGTTAACTGCATTAGTAAATGTCAAAATTGGCCGATTTGTCAAAAAAGTAAATGTTACGTGGAGATCATAATAGCATGTAGACTCAAAGCCGTAACGAGGTTATATTTCGTGCACTAAAACTATTCTTCCACTACTACACTCAGAATGGGGATTGATGCTGGTTTAGCAGAAGAGGAGGAAGAAGGTGGTGGAAGCCACTAGATTCATTAATTTTTGTTCAATGTAGCTAATTGCATTAGTAAATGTCAAAATTGGCCCATGTGTCAAAATATTAAAGGTTATGTCTGAACATAATAACATGGAGATTCAAAGTCGTAATGAGGTTATCTTTCAAGGACTAAAACTGCAGTTTACCCCTTCAAAGAAGCCTCCACTTAAGTGCATTTCAGATTTGCTCCTATTTCCTATTCATAGATCTTAGATTAAGATGTTATTAGGAAAGGAAACTTAATCATTTAATTCCTTACTGAAAATAGATCTGTAGTAGTTCTCAGATGAGGGATTCTTCTGTTACAGCCCTTAGGAGAGCTAATCAGGATATCTTTTCATTGCTAAACTCTTATGGATACCTGGGATTAGGAGAGCTAATCAGGATATCTTTTCATTGCTAAACTCTTATGGATACCTCGGATTCGTAAGATATTTCAGATAAGATAACCTTATTCCAAACACTCAACCTCATTTGTAGTGGTCAGTTTTGAGGCAATCTAATATATTGTCTTCTTGCATTATATAGCCTAGCAGAATCAGTCTGTTGCTAGATCTTGAACTGAATCTAATTCATGATGACAATTTTGTGATAGGCGTACCCAAACTAATGGAAGACTTATCTACTTTGGAAACAAAGTATAACTATTTCCTTTTCTCTACTACTTCTACTAGAATAGTAGTAGAACTCATTTAATTGAAAAGGGGATGATGCTTGAGAATTTTCTGCAGCAAAGCAAAACTATTTCCTTTTCTCAAAGTTCGATTGCTCAAATTCACGAAGAAGGCAATTGAACTTCAAGTTTCTTATAGTGCGTAACTCATGTACCCGTTTCCCAGTGATTATAATCGATTTTAAGAATGTTCTATCTTGCAGATGCTGAAGCTACAAAGTGAGTGCCCATGGTCTAGATTTTCTTTCCCAAATAAAAATCCCTTATGCTGCTGCAGTTATTTACTGATCTGTAAGTAATTATTGCAAATTTCTATTTTTGTGGCTGATATACATATAGTAGTCTGTAATCTTTGACTTTCTAAATTGTGAATCATTGTATTTGTTAAATTTGGATAATTACTGTCCTTATTGGCATTAACTTAGTGAGTTTTGCTAATGCAAGTATATTTTGACCTCGTATTATCTATATGCCCACAGCAAAAAACAAGCTGACTGCTGATGAAGCATGAATTTCTGTTGTTGGTTTTATCATTTGATCATAGCATAAAATTGATACTTTTGGTTTGGTTTATGGGAATTGCTTTTATTTTTTCGTTTTGGTTTATGGTGACACCTCTACCACTTGTGTACTTGAGTATTAAAGAGATACACAATGAAGCTAATAATCTGCTGCCATGTTCTATTGCAGCAGATATTGGAATTAAGAATGAAGCTTAAGAAGATTAAAGTTGAAAGCACAGGAATTTGGTAGTGGGTTTATCTCATCTTTAATTGAGAAGTTTATGAGTAATCAACAAAGATTTTCAGTAATGATTAACTAAGAATTTTGATTACTTTAGTGAGCCATTTTTGTTAGTGGTGCGATTCATGTCTTCTTATTCATCTGTCAACTGTTAACCTTTCAAAATAGTTTTATGTCACCGAAATATCTCAAAGCTAAAAGGTCATGGGTTTACGGCTTTCCCCACCTCAAGTAAAATGCATTGACTAAGATTTTTGATTCTGAACATTCATGTTGATGTGGTCAATGACCAAACATACAACAACGAATGGAGGAGCAGTCAAATTGATTAAAGTTGTAAAAACAAGCATAACACCTGAGATGACCAAACAATACATAGCTTATGATAAATGAAATTGGGATGGACTGAAATAAAGCAGATAATTATGCCAACGTTGGCCTGAAATTTATAACATTTCTTTACTATTTAATATGGGGGCAAACTCATATATTTCTGGCTCCAAGAACAGCAATGACATCCTGATGCTTAAGAAAATGCACCAGCAACTCCTTCCTTTTAGGCTCCATTTTATCAGCATTATTTTCTTCATCTTCATTGTCATCCGTCCCATCAGATGATAAATAAAGTGGAGGCAGTAACTCCCCTTTATCTAGCAAAGCAAGGCTCTCTTTGTAAGTGCCAAAATAAAAAGAGTACCTAGTGCCAAGAATATCGAGGTGCAGCTTTTCTTGTGTCTCAGGATTATATGAAGTTAGCATCCCTGATATCTCTGTCAACAGTATTTCAGTATCATTACGAAAACCCAGTATCATGCCAAACCGCTGATGGTCGAGTTGCTGGTGGTTGAGTGCAACATTATATTCCATGCTCCATGACTCAGTGTCTCCATACTGTTTCATTACCCAAATGGAACAACAGCTGCTCCAAATACGTGTATTGTACTGATACACAACAAGTGATTTCCTACATTCCGCAGCAGTCAGATTCGTAGGTGGTTCATTAACCAAAATTTCTGGTAATGATATTTCCTGAAAAATCTCATCATTTAGATCAAACACCATTATCAAGTTCTCCACCCTTCTTTCCTCCCCAGTTATCTTGTATGCAGTCCAGTGGACTTTCCCACAAACAACAGCTTGTGTCCAAAAGTACTCTATAACACCATTGTCTGGAATAAAACCATCAAATTCCTTCCAAATTCCTGAACTAAGTGCATATACCTCAACTTTAGGTGGTACCAAGTACCCACCATCACCACGAGCATAGGCCATCCTCACGACCTTGTAATCTCTCGTTTTAATTGCATAGCCAAACCCACAAACAAGCATATAGTTGCCTAAGTTTTCAAGAGAAGACATTGGGAGGGTGATAGATCTGCCTATCATTGGGTTCCAAAGCACCAAAAGATTTTCAGATACAAATAAATCATCTGACAAACAGAGGACGCCATTGCATAGGCCCACGATCCTATAATAATATCGCACTATGCCATTAAAAGGGGCTCCTATTTTGAATTCAGTTTCAATACCGGCTAATACATCAATGAGTCGAATAGAGTATATTTCCTTTCTTTGAGTTAGTGAGAAGTATCTGATGATTTTACCTGCTGGCGGTTTTTGGAGAATGTTACAGTAGGTGTGCAGCGATATGAATTCAGAGCTTGAGATTAGTGAGTTCCACGATCGCGATATGCACCTAAATCGGAGTAGAGATTTGGGTGAGAGCCTTGAGAAGATTGGAACCATTAATTCTTCAGGGATATAGTCTGACATTTTTCTTGGGGTATGAAATTGAAGATCTTGTTATTTTTTCCCTCACTTTTCTATTGTTTGAGAAGAAAGGTTGGGTGGGGGAGGGGTAGTTCTTGAAAGAGAGACTGCTCGCTGGTGAGAGCAGGTTTTTGAAGTTGATTGCTAGTGAAGAGAGCTTCAAAAGCAAGTTGATGGCAAGAAGACAAGAGAAAGCACTATTTATACAAGGTAAATAGAGCAAAGACAAGAAGTTGTACCAGAAAAGTAGATGCTGGCTAATCCAGAAAGGGAAGCTGTTTAATTACTTGCTCAAAATCTTTTCTCACATTTGGAAGGTAGGAAATGAAGAAAGCAGAAATTCTTTTTGAGCTAGCTTATTTGAAGCAGGGTAGTAATTGCGGTTCAAACTCTTATTGAGTTTCTTAGAAGAAAACAATAGTCCAATTAATCACTTGCCTAATATCATTTATCTGTTAGTTGACCTTTGACAATCATAATAAACTAAATATATACTTTTATCACTTATGGTAATTGGGTTTTTCTATAAGTTGGTAAGTAGCTGATATAGTGATACTTGCTTACATCGGTAAGATATTACATACCAAATTTGGACTTTTAGGGAGGAAATTTATTTAGTTGTTAATAGTAGGAATGATGGAATTTCATAAAAAAATAAAGGAAGTGAATTTGAACTGTTCTTTTTCTTTGGAATTTTCTTTGGCTTGCTTACATTGTAGTTAAGGAATAAATTTACGTTGTTGTAATATACATAAAAGGTCCAAATACACCCCTAATATTTGTGATTTGTTCTATATATGCTCTCCATTTACTTTCGGCTCATAGGAACCCCTGTGTTATCTTTTATCTCAAATATGCTTCTCTTACTAATAGGTTTCCATCATCCTACTATTGGACCTTTTCAACTGTTTAGGGATATATTTTGACATTTTCAATAGTCCGGGGGCATGTTTCATATTGTTGTAGAGGGTGTATATTAACCAATTTGATAGTTTTGCGATAAACTTGGATATGATGTTTGTCTACATAGNCCGCGCATCTTTTATCTCAAGCATGCCCCTCTTACTAATAGGTTTCTACCGCATAAAAATCGGTCACCTTTTCAACTGTTTAGGGATATATTTTAATATTTTCAGTTGTTTAGGGGCATGCTTCATATTGTTGTAGAGGGTATATATTAACCAATTTGATAACTTTGCGATAAACATGGATTTGATGTTTGTCTACATGGGCAATTCTCAAAGCCAAGCTGGGTAGTTGTTAGCGGGAGGGGAAAATATGAGACGAAATTAAACCCTAAGGGACCAACGATATTTTTTATGGTTATTAAACTTAAATTGGATCTTGTTCATGTTTAGTGAATAATAAAATTATATACTTTTACTATATTTTTGACAAAATTACCTCTTCCCTAACAGTATATGAAGCTTAGTTTCTCGGATTAAACAAAAATATCTAACATGATACGTACATGCTTAAACACAAGAACAACTTTTATTCTTGCCTGCTAGTTTCAACTCAACGAACTCATGCATACACTTCTCAGACGAAGGACAATCTCTCAAATACACTTGTTGATGCTGTTGACACGTTTGTCTTTTCTTCGCTGAATCCTCTTAATGAAATTTTTCATGTTGCGCTAAGTTACTTATGGATGTATGCATGTTGTCCGTGAACACTTTGGAGTGAACACCCATCCGAACAAGTAGGGTCAATAGTTCAACATTTAGGCCATAACATTTAGCAACAAAAAAATATTTAACCTAACAAGTTATAGATAGCAGATTGACACATCCAATGAACCAACCAGTACGGCAGACAATTACTTTCTTATTCTAGGATTGGAAGATCCTCTACCTATTAGCGTACCCGTACCGGCAGTTAGACTAGCACTCTCTCCCCAATCAATCGCAGTAACTGACGGTAAGAGAGTTGACTGTCTACTATCTATGTCATGCCTTTGTCTCACTAGTTGATTTACATGAATTTTTGTGTAGAAAAAACGAAAGGAGATAATGTTAATATTTGAAACCGCATGAAAGGCAAACATTGCTAGCCTTAACCTCAAACGAGGGCTTTTTAGTTAGCCTATAAAAGAGTATATATTATCAAGTCTATCCAACTATGACTGTAAGGTGGAAAGGACAACTTGTCTGTAAGGAACTATTGACATAGGTTTTTACAATGTTGTTAAAAGTGTGCCTTTCCCTGAAGTTCGGTGCAACACTACTTAGATGTTTTGCCTCCTTACTATGGTTTAGTGACCCACTCAAACGAGGGCTTTTTAGTTAGCCTATAAAAGAGTATATATTATCAAGTCTATCCAACTATGACTGTAAGGTGGAAAGGACAACTTGTCTGCAAGGAACTATTGACATAGGTTTTTACAATGTTGTTAAAAGTGTGCCTTTCCCTGAAGTTCGGTGCAACACTACTTAGATGTTTTGCCTCCTTACTATGGTTTAGTGACCCAGACCTCACATGTGGGATTACACTGAGTTTATTGTTGTTGTTGTTGTTGTTACTATGGTTTAGTGAAGGCACCCAGGGGCGAATCTAGGATTTAATCTCTATGAGTTCAACCTTTAAGGTTTATAGTATTGAACTCATTATATTATTGAAGCTACGGGTTCATATCTACTATTTATTACAATTTTGATGAATTTTTACGCATAAATTTATACACAATATGGAAAGTACTAGGTTCAATTGAACCCGGTAATGAAGAGTTGCACCCGCCCCTGAAGGCACCATAAAGATCTCAATGTGAACAATCTCTATTTTTAAAAGGACAACACTAAATAACAAAAATAGATGACAAAAGTACTTTACGGATAAACATACTAGTGGTCAACAATAGGAATTAGAAATTTATTGAAAGAAAATTAGTCACAACTCTGAATTAAAGTCTTGCATATAGATCAAGTTAGAATGATTTTTGAACTCGAATGACATGGTTTTTACTTCATACATCCTATTTAATTTTAGTTTTGAGTTCTTTGGTACAAATAAGTATTGTTTCATTTATAGTTATCCTTTTTCATAACATATTGAGTATATATATATATTTTTTAATTTTTTTCTTGATCTTTGTCTTTCTTCATTAAGCTACACTTTAATTGTGTTTTGCGCTTAAAACCCCTGTAATCACTTATTACTCTTCTACGGCTTTGCTTGTGGTAATAATGGACTTATCTAATGCCTCGTGAAATTGAGTTATATAGTTTGAGTACCGGTTTGTAGAAACAATGAGTGTAAGAGATATCCATGATATACTGGTTGATAATACTCCCTCCTTTCCATTTTATTTGGCGGGTTCATAGTATAATGGTCAAATTACTTAATATTCTAAGTGAATTCAAACATAGATTCTTCAAATTTTTTGAAATAAAATTTACATATTTGAAAATTTCATAAAAACAGTATGAGTTACAATAGTAAATAATTTAAGATATTTTAGAAAATCGAGTTCAAAGAAGAACCTCTTTGACTCGTCACATGGTAATAGTACCCCATAAAATGGAATAGAGGGACTGGTAGTTAGATGAGGCTATTAATTGGATTGTGTGTTATGGTAATAGTGATGGGTTTTTAAATAAGCTATTGGCTCATAATTTAAGAAACTTCTAGTGAATTGATGGTTCCTGTATGAGCTAGTGCATGAATCTCTTTTTGGACTCGTCTGTTTATGAGAGGATTGGGTTGCTGTGTTTTGGTACAGGAGTCATGATTTTGGTAATCTCAATGTTTTACTGTTTGGGTACTGAACTGCTTTTGGAAAATGGAGTGTGCGACTGAGAATTTTTGTGGATTTGAAGCATGATATTTCAAATGCTATTGGGATCAGAAGAAATGGGTAGTGTCTGTTGAAGTAGCATATCAGGAATCTTGATTTTGTATGATCGAGCACATAAATTTAGGATAGCAATATCGATGATGGGAGAAATAATTCTTCTTGAGCAACTATGTTGAGAGTCTACTGTCCTTTGATGGAAGCAATGAGAGTCTAACGCAGCTGTTATGATGAGGATATTGTCTTACCGCCTCAATTGGCGTTGACACTAAAGTTCGAGCTGTTGAAGTGCTGGTTTTCTGAGTATTCTTTTTGCAAAAAGCAGTTTCCTTAGTTAGCGTCTGTGTTCTAACTTCGTACCTCCATATGTTTATGACTAGTTATAAAGCTGAAGATTTTAAGGTTTTTGCGTTGAAGAAACTTATGCAGGATACTTGTGTGTACTCTAGGCGTGTGTTGGACAATAGAATTTTTGAAGGCAACAAGAGAAACATTCTTTGTCTTAAGTTTAAGGTTTTACCTTTTGCTTTTTGGTGCAAACTAGTACGGGGTATAGATGCCATGTTAGACATGATGGGGGAATTGTAGAACTTGTAATTTCTTTTTTGATGCACTAGCTTAGTGTTTATTCATCTTTAATAATATACCTTATCATTTAGCAAAACATTGGTGTGTATTGAGTATTAACTAACTTATATTGTCCTGAATAACATAGGTTGGGAAATCAGCTGCTTGACAGGGCTTTAGACAAACTGGAACAGGAAATTTGCAGAGGGGGAGGGAGGGATAGAATCTGATGGAATAAGAATTACAGGGGTAAGTTTTACTGGTAAAGGTTGCCAATGTGTTTTGGCAAACATGAAATATTGTATACTCCCGGCCATGGAAAAGGATATGGAAAATTAAAGCTCCAAAGTAATTTCTCTCCGCTGGATACTGATGTGTGAAGCTTTCTTAACGCAAGACAACTTGTTGAAGAGAGGATTTAAACTTTTGAATAGATGCTTTCTATGCAAAACATTTGCTGCTACACTGTGTGGTAGCCAGAGATATATGGAGCATGGTCTTAAACATTTGTGGAATTCAAGGGGTTAATTCCAAACAGTCCTAAGGATGCTTTGGTAAGCTGGTGGCTATGGAAAGTGGAGAAAGGAAAGGAAAAAGATACGGCAGGTAGTACCAAGCTGTATTTCTAGACACGGAGAAAGAAATGCAAGATGAAGATGCCTTGAAGAGACCTCTGGTACGATCCCTGCACTAAAAGCAAAATGCCTCTTGAACCTTTTTTGTTGGTGTAAGCAGAGGGATGTGACTGATGTAAATCTATTTTTGGACTTCATTGGCACCTTGAGTTTTGCATAGGGGTCATTAACGCTTTCCTAACTATGCATCTTCTGGATGTCAGTATTAATAAAAGTTTCTTTACTTCATCCAAAAAAAAAAGGCTTATGTCATCCTTGTCGTCTTTTGGCGTAAGTGATAAAATGCTAGATGCAATCAGTACCATGATGAAGTTCACTTTGTGTTTCTGAATTTAATACTGGCTTCACCACCTTAATGATCCCAAACTGGTTTGCAAATTACTAGTAAGTCCACTTAGGGGTCTTTTGGTTGGGCTTTTAGGAGATATATTCTCCTCATAAAAATTAATATTAGTTTATACGATGTTTGATTGGGATTTGAAGATATTTAATATCCTGCATGACAATCATTGCATTACTAATTCCTGCATTACAATCTCGGCATCACTAATCCCTACATAACTTATTTCTAAACCAAACAGCCATTTAATTGTGCTACAAGTTGCCTGTCCTTTCCTCATTCAGTAACTACTTGGACTGCTGCTAGGATGTTTGCATTGTACAAGTGGCTAACAGTTTTCTTTGCACAGTTACGTGCTATGATGATGAATCCTTCTAAAAAAAAAAAGTGCTATGATGATGAATTAATTCAGAGAAATTTATTTATAATATATGAGTTCTTTCTTCGTTTTAATGATTGGTGCCCAACTAACTTTTGTCTTGTCGAGTCCACAGAGGGGAGGCCTAGAATGAAGAAGGTTTTTGTTTACTGAATCCTTACATTGAAGTTTAGTTATGTCGTCTATAATCAGGTTTCAGTGTGGAGATTTTTGGCTAATACTTAACTATGAACTTGAAGTTCTTTTGTCCTTTGCATTTACTTATTCTTGTGTGTAAATTTATAGTTGTCTGTCTAGTAATTGCTTTTCTCTGTGTTTTTAAATTTATTTCAGTTCAAAAATTGACATCTTTTCTTTATTAATATGCTCTCTTACAGTATTGGACTTGAAGCCTATAGATTTGGAGATAGGTCGCGAGATTGAATAGCTCTCTATGTGCATTTCTTTGCCATTATGGCAGGCGGGTTTACTTTCCCTTCCTTTCCATTTTCACTTTCCAACCCTTCCCTTCGATAACTACTATGACCA